AACTCTCTCTCCGTCCCTCTCTCCCTCTCTTTCTCTCTCTCTTTCTTTCTCTCTCTCTCTCTTTCTCTCACTTTCTCTCTCTCTCCCCCTTCCTCCCTTCTCCCTATCTCCCTCTCTGTCTCTCCTTTTCTCTCTCTCCGTCCCTCTCTCCCTCTCTTTCTCTCTCTCTTTCTTTCTCTCTCTCTCTCTTTCTCTCACTTTCTCTCTCTCTCCCCCTTCCTCCCTTCTCCCTATCTCCCTCTCTGTCTCTCCTTTTCTCTCTCTCCGTCCCTCTCTCCCTCTCTTTCTCTCTCTCTTTCTTTCTCTTTCTCTTTCTCTCTCTCCCTCCCTCCCTCCTCTCTCTCCCTCTCTCTCTCTCCTTTTCTCTCTCTCCTTCTGTTTCTCTCTCTCTCTTTCTCTCTTTCTCTCCCTCCCTCCCTTCTCTCTATCTCCCTCTCTGTCTCTCCTTTTCTTTCTCTCCGCCCCTCTCTACCTCTCTTTCTCTCGCTCCCTGTCTCTCTTCTCCCCTCACTCTGCCTCCCTCCCTCCCTAACTATCTTTCTCTCCGTTCCTGTCTCCTCCCCTCCCTCTGCCTCCCCTCCCCCTGTCCGTACCTCTCTCCTCCTCTCCCCCTCCCTCCCTGCCTCTTTCCCTCTCTCTCTGCATCCCTCCTTTCCTCCCTTCCTATTTCTCTTTCTCTCTTTCCGTGCCTGTCTCTCTTTCTCTTTTCCTCCTTTTCTCTCTCTCTTTCTGCATCCCTCCCTCATTTTCTCTCCCCATCTCTGTCTCTCTTTCTCTCTCTCCATCCCTGCTTCTTTCTCTTTCCTCTCTCTCTGCATCCCTCCTTTCCTCCCTTCCTATTTCTCTTTCTCTCTCTCCGTCCCTGTCTCTCTTTCTCTTTCCCTCCTTTTCTCTCTCTCTTTCTGCATCCCTCCCTCATTTTCTCTCTCTCCCTATCTCTGTCTTTCTTTCTCTCTCTCGTCCCTGTCTTTTTCTTTCCACCTCTCTCTGCATCCCTCCTTTCCTCCCTTCCTATTTCTCTTTCTCTCTTTCCGTCCCTGTCTCTCTTTCTCTCTCCTCCTTTCTCCTTCTCTCTTTCTCTTCCCTCCCTCTTTCCCTCCCTCCCTCTCCCTCTTTATCTCTACCACCACCATCCCGCATCCCGACCGAGCAGGGTTCCCACTTTCACAGCTCCCGGCGGCAGCGCTACGGCGCCGTCTTCAAGACGCACCTTCTGGGGAAGCCGGTGGTTCGGGTGAGCGGCGCCGAGAACGTGCGCAAGATCCTCCTGGGCGAGCACAGCCTGGTCAGCTCCCAGTGGCCGCTCAGCACCCAGATCCTGCTGGGCTCCCACACGCTGCTCAACGCCCACGCCGAGGTGCACCGGCACCGGAGGAAGGTGAGCGGGCGAAGGGCGTCCCTCTGGCCCGGGCGGTCCTCACTCCAACGGCTGCTCCGGCAGGGAGGCTGGACAGGTGAGGCTGGGCATAATGGGCTATGCTCACCCTTATCTGGAGGGTGGCAAGTGGGGAGTTTCCCTCTGCGGCGCTTTGGCTAAGCCAGTGTTTCTCAACCTTGGCCACTTGAAGATGTCCAGGACTTCAATTCCCAGAATTCCCCAGCCAGCATAGCTGGCTGGGGAATTCTGAGAGTTGAAGTCCGGACATCTTCAAGTGACCAAGGTTGAGAAACACTGGGCTAAGTTGGGGTCTCCAACCTTGGCTGGGGAATTCTGGGAGTTGAAGTCCTCGGGGCTTAAAGTGGCCAAGGTTGGAGAGCCCTGGGCTACGCTGAAGCTGCTCCACGCTGAATGGTGGGGAGTCTCCCAGCCCCGGTTCCCCTCGGAAGCCGAGCCTTTCCCCGGGCCGTGTCCGGTCGGGGAGAAGCTTCAGGCGGCTCCCGCGCTCTGCCTGTCCCTCCCCGCTCAGATCCTGGCCCGCGTCTTCAGCCGCGCCGCCCTGGAGGTCTACTTGCCCCGAATCCAACGCCTGGTGTGCTGGGAGCTGCGCGGTTGGTGCCGCCGCCGGGGGCCCATCGCCGTCTACGCCTCGGCCAAGGTTTTGACTTTCCGCATCGCTGCGCGGATCCTGCTGGGCCTCCGGCTGGAAGAGGAGCAGTTCGTGGAGCTGTCCGGGGCCTTCGAGCAACTGGTGGAGAACCTCTTTAGCCTGCCGCTCAACGTCCCCTTCAGCGGATTGAGGAAGGTACCTGAGGATGGAGAGAGAGAGAGAGAAAGAGAGAGAGCGAGAGAGGTGGAGAGGGAGGGAGGGAGGGAGGGAAGGAGGGGGAGAGAGAGAGAGAAAGAGAGAGAAAGGGAGAGAAAGGGAGAAAGAGAGAGAAAGAGAGAAAAAAGAGAAAGAGAGAGAGAGAGAGAGAGAAAGGGAGACAGAGAATGGGGAGGGAAGGAGGGGGGAGAGAGAAAGAGTGAGAGAAAGAGTGAGAAAGAGAGAGAAAGAGAGAAAAAAGAGAGAAAGAAAGAGAGAGAGAAAAAGAGAGAGAGAGAGAAAGGGGGAGAGAGAGGGAGGGAGGGAAGGAGGGGAAGAGAGAGAAAGAGTGAGAGAAAGAGTGAGAAAGAGAGAGAAAAAAGAGAGAGAGAGAGAGAAAAAAAAGAGAGAAAGAGAGAGAGAAAGGGAGAAAGAGAGAGAGGGAGGGAGGGAAGGAGGGGGAGAGAGAGAAAGAGTGAGAAAGAGAGAGAAAAAAGAGAAAGAGAGAGAGGGGGAGAGAGGGGGGGAGGGAGGGAAGGAGGGGGAGAGAGAGAAAGAGTGAGAGAAAGAGTGAGAGAAAGAGTGAGAGAAAGAGAGAGAAAAAAGAGAGAAAGAGAGAGAGAAAGGGAGAAAGAGAGAGAGGGAGGGAGGGAAGGAGGGGGAGAGAGAGAAAGAGTCAGAGAAAGAGTAAGAAAGAGAGAGAGAAAGAGAGAAAGAGAAAGGGAGAAAGGGAGAGAAAGAGAGAAAAAAGAGAGAAAGAGAGAAAGAGAGAGAGAGAGAGATGCCCTCAATGACTCTGAGTCAGCGGGGGATGGGGTGTGGGGGTGTGTGGGGTGCTTACTGAAAGCAAAGCAAAGCAAACAAACGAACCCTTGTGCCCCTTTTCACTTCCTTTAGATTTCCTTTAACAGAGATTGATTTGTGTGGCACAGGTGAGATGCCAACATCCAACTGGCAAAAGGACCCCAAGCCTTCCAAATGGAAAATAGGGTTTTAACTCTGATCCACCTCCTCTTGTCTTTCCCTGTCAAAGGGGAAATTGGGGGGGGGGGGCACCTGACAAGGGCATTCTCCAAACCCACAAAGTCTCGTCTCTCCAACCCAGCCTTTCCAAATCTCCAAAGTTGTCGTTGGAACTAAGAGTTGTAGAGAACTGTGGGGTCAGGCTGTGCAACCTGGCAGATGCTAAATTGGGGAAAGGCTAGAAGACAGTCCCTTCAGTTTACTCCGAGAAGCAGCGGGAAGGGTCCGAACTAATCATGGGCTCGATTCAAAGACCCCATTCCTCTACGACCCTCCCTGCATTTGGGCCACAGGTTTCACGGGAAACCTTTCTATCCACACATCTGCTCTCTCCTTTCATGCTTTGAATCCTAAGCTCCCACCATACCTACCGCTGCCCAAAACTTCTGGTTCCTGAAAGCAACTTCTGCCCCCCCCCCCCACCGCCAGCTAGTTAAGAGAAGAAAACAGACCTTCAATATTATGGTTGTCGCCCAGTCAGCCACATGTTTGGCGTGACCCGTCAAAACCGCGGTCCACTAAAGCGCGCCCGAT